TGTTGTGTTTTGGTAAAACAGCGACTTTTTCGCGAAATAATTGCGAAATAAAGTATTCTCTGCTTAAAGAAAAAACGTAATATTAGTCGTTTATGTCTTCCAATACTCAAAATAGCTGCTATATTTTCCAAACTTTTTTTGTTAATAACTTTTTAACGAATAACGACCGCCGGCTAAAAACTTCTGAAGGTCACTCAGGAGGGTGACCTTGACAACATATGTCAAGGTCAAGGTCATTGGCGGGTGGGGTCTTTTTATGCATAATTACTCTCGTATGTTCTGTGAGAGAAGTATATTGACCCGTTATAAATTGGCAGCCAAAAGTCGCGCGACTTACGGATGGCACAAAAATTGTTGGTCAAGGCCAGCGATGGCAGCATTGTTTTTTTATGTTCAGGAATGTTCGAGCTACTTTAAAAAAAAAAACAATCGTATGTTCTGTGAGGGAGGTACAGTACGAAAATATGTCACGTTTAAAGGTTGCTGCCATGGTTCCTGTCAAGGTGGGGGGTGGCAGCATATTTTTTTATCAAAGTGCTTGACATCCTGAATCGATTGGCATAAGTTTCAGCCGTATGTTCTTTAAGAGAGTTTTATCTAAAAAAATCATACCAAAAGTGGCCTTTTTTAACACTTCGGTCAAGTTTTAGGGCATATAAAATCCGACACAGTCGCTGTAAGTCAGCAGGCGTCCGGCTGTGTCTGGCTGCCGTCCGCGTCAAACGTTCCGAAAATCATGGGTCATTTTTTGAAATGTTAGCTTTTGCGCGTATTTTTACTTTAAAGTATATAATCCAGAGAGTATGCAGTTAAATTTTCACGTAAAAATATTGAAAATTTAGAAAGTTATGACCACTCTGACACGCTTGGCTCTAGAACACCGTGACCGCCGGGGCACGAAGCCCTCGGGGCACGCGCTCCGCCTAACCGAGTAAGTAAGAAAACGATGAAAGTAGTGGTATTTCACCGGCGATGTTGCCATCTCCCACTTATGCTACACCTCTCATGTCTCCTTACAGTGCCAGACTAGAGTATTCGTTCAGCCACTCTGGGATTATCGCGCCTCGCATCGCTCGTCTGGAAACACTCAACTCGGAGTCTTGTCACCGTTCTATCTCCGTTTTTATATATTTTTTTGCTTTTAATATATTATATTTAGACGATATATTAAACAATATTGTATAAAGAGATATGCATAATAAATTTATATAATATTTCTTCAAATCTCTTCTCGCCCGAGAAAACGAAATTCAGCTTCATATATATTTGACTATTTTATAGAAGCTGTTTGCCGTATTTCATGTTAATCCAGCCTTATTCATACTTCAGCAGCTTAGCAGTCTGATGAATATTACAAGAACTCTGTAAAGGAAACACGCGTAGCCTACCTCGCGTATATACTTTTCGAGAACGATGTCTGCCGCTTGCTTACGTAAGTAAGGAGGATTCTCGCCGTGACGGGGAAAAAAATTGCAGCACGGTGCCGTGCCGAATTTAAACGGGCGTATTATCGCGTGCGTTCTCGGCTCCTCTTCGTCGGCCCGATACTTTGATAAGACAGGCAATTCGCACATATGTGAAACGCGCGAATAACATCGCTTCGTTAAAGCACTTCTGCGGATACACCCGAGAGAGGGAGAGCTTTTGCGGCGCAGTTTGCAAGCTGCAATCGGCTAACTCGAAACAACAATTGTTTTGAGCGACTTTCGGCAGACAAATTGAGAGATGTTATCCGAATGGCGTGATAATACTTAAAGGCCAACTTGATTAAGCCCTATAATCTTCGTGCATACGGTTATGTCGCGTTGTTTATAATTATCAAGAAAATTAGTGCGACCTCTCTCTTACGAAGCTACGAAACTGTTATCTCGTGAAAAGGTGCATCTTGATCTATACATTTTTCGGTAAAACTACGCCAAACTACAGCTAATACTGATATTCTACACATTTCTATATCTATTTGAGTACAGTAGACAACAAGAAAATATTAGAATTAAAACACTCTTTAATGAAAAAATTCACCCGACATAAAAAAAAATTATATTTATTTTGAAATTATATTACTACTTTTTAACTAAGTTTGTTTCTTTATTCTAAGATGCAACCTATAATTATAAATATTTTCTCGTATTTAAAAAACACACTTACCTTGATGATTCGAACTCGAGACCTCGGGACCTCTGGATCGTGAGCCAATCAATAGACTTAATCGACTTAAAAATTCCCTAGCGGCACTTTCTGCCAAGCGTAGAGAACCTTCTTTTCCGGCAGCGGTAGTAATAGTAATACGATGTGAGGATACGAAATCTCTCCAGATAAACATAAAGCAATTGACTCAATATATATTATATATATATACCTGATTTACCTAAATAGAAATTTTCCTCCTGACCGATAAGTCTGTCGACCTAATTTCGAAATACGCGCGCGATATCGAAACTGGCGATACCTGCGCCGCCAGCGTCGAAAAAGTGAAAGTGACATTTCTCTGATAATCATAATAATATTGAATGAGAGCGTTAGGAGGAGGAGGAGGAGGAGTATCTTAAAAATAAATTTTCACATTTGGACTTTGCGTCGCAATATTTGCGCTCGTAGGGCACGTAGCGGAATATTATAAGAGAAACCCCCTTAATTCGACCCCAAGCTATCGATCAAGCCTACTTAGAACTTGATCCGTTCACTCGTTATCGAGATCAACATCTCGGGTACTCGCAACTCGTCGCGTCGCGTAAAAGAGTCACGGTCGGTCTCGCTCCGCGTGTATTTGGCACGAGACACTACCGTGTCTCTTGATAGTCATTTATAAATAATTGTTCTACAAGTAAGCAGATGTTTTAATTTTTTAAGATTTTATTTTTCCTTAAATTTTTAAAATTTGTAGATTTTTGTACTATTTTTTATAAAATTGTAATTTTTCATAAAATACTACTTGCAATAATTTCTTGATTTGAGAACATTGTAATTTGTGATATTTCGTAAATATTTCTACAAAAAAAAACTATTTCTACAAAAAATTAAATATTTTAACAAAAATGTACAAATTTTTATTTCTAGTCAAATTTTGTAGTTATACATAGAAATTTTTTCCGCCAGGAACAGATATGTACTTCTTGATAAAGACTGTATCTTTTAAAGTTATTTTATAATGATCGAATAGCAAAATGCTGTTGCAGAAGAACAATTGTAAATTATTTTAGATGTAGCTTTCTTCAATACAAAAATATTTATATAAATATATATTTAGCTTCTATCAGCATTGTAGGTAGCAAATCACATGCTCACACAGGTCTCACGCGCGCGGCAACAACAAGTCAAGCAAAGCATGCCTTGATATGAGCCAACATACCATATCCCTATATATGATTTCAGTCATTTTCTTACAATAAATTACTATTTTGTTTCTTAAAATGACATGTCGTATAGTAACATAAATTTTTCTTTTAACTTATAATACGCATTTTGATTTACTTCTCGAGCTAAAGAGCATTAATACGATATTTCGAAAATTTACTTGCCACCTCTTGAATTAGAGTTTTCTCTTTTTCTATTGTAATACTTGTTTGATTTAAATAAAACTTTGGAAAAAGTACCTATATCATATAAGAGATATTTTTTCCATGATAACTTTTCCATTATATCTTTCGCTATAAATACATAAACGGAACGCATTGTCAACTTGCTCCTTGTGCCAACGAGCCCCGGTTTCCCCTAAATTATATTTGTGAAGATTTTCAAAATATTTAGTAAAGTATTTATGACATATGATCAATATTAATAAAAATATTTCTTAATGTTTAAAATTTATAACAATTTAAGTTATACACGTGTATTAGAATTAGATTTTTTTAAATCAAAGTTTATATAAATTGAGAGAGCAATATCATTAAGGAATTATTCTTTTATTAAATATTTTAGAATTACGAGTAAAATGGTAGGGTTGTGTGGGGTGATGTGCAACATGGGGTGATGTGCAACGTTTCCGATTCCTGGTCTGCATGTCGACATTTGACAGAACCGCATACTGTCATCTATTTGTGTCAATAGTACCTTGTTTTAGATAAATAACTCGCGAGATGGCACGCTGGTTTGCTGTACGAAAAGCGAGTTAAATTTCTCGAGCTCAATGTAATTTTCGCTTTTCACATTCATAGTGATTTCGTGAATTGGTTTTAGGTCATCTTATAGGTAAATATTTTTATATTGTTAGTTTTTTAAGTACTTTTGATAATCCACAGCAATTTTGTGATTTTCTTACGTTGTGTTGGTGTCACGCCAGTCCGCACAAAATAGCGTGTTTGGGGTTATGTGCAACACTTTTTTGGGATGTGCAACACTCATTTTTCGCTAGTTTATCACTATTTTACGATGGAACATGTGTATATGAAGTGTTTTAATGCATTTTTCAATGTATTTAGTCATTATGCCACGAAAGTATAAAAATAAGGGTATCGCTGTTCCAGTCAATTGCAAGTTAATTTGGGCAGCAATAAAATTACTGAAAGGCGATCATCCGGTTGCGTTTTTCCTTTCATTATATTAATTTTTAAGCGATAAATAAATAAGAAATCAAATAAAAAATGAATTTTTTTTTGTGAAATTTCCATTTGTCAGAGGTCGATTACAATACAGTGAAATTTTTTGTTTACCAGATTTCGATTAATTTGTATTTAAGAAGCCCAAATTTAACATTTAAGTCGATTGATGTCAATATTCATGCATTTTTTACTTTAATTTTACCTGTGTTGCACATCAACCCAAGAAAATTTGAAAATGCTAAAACAGACGTTTTTTTGAAAACTCGAAAAATTTTTAGAAAAAATTTAAAATTTTGAAAATCTAATCACGCAGAATTGTAGTAGTAGTTTCCTTCTTCTACATTATACAGCCATGATATATTCAAGAATTTGATTTTTGGATATGTTTTCCGAGCAACGCATGAACGTGTTGCACATCACCCCACATAACCCCTACTTGCATGCAAAAATTAGTTCTCTATATTTATTTTTAGACATTATTTTTATTTTCGCATACATAAGTTACAGATTTGTGTTATGGTTAGTATAACTTTGCATCGTGATGCGAATGAGAAGAAGTTCTGTTCATTTGTGAAGAGATGGAGGAAGAAGCCTGACGCCAGTTCAACAACTTTGCAGTAAGCATTACTATTTGTGTAAGTTAATAATTTCTTCCCGTTTATTTGGATTGCTTTATTTCAACAATTTAAAAATAAGTATTAAAGAAAACGAATTAATTTGATAAGTTCAGTCTTATGAAAATTTTTTTTGAAAAATTTACAAATATTTTTATAGATATTAAATCAAAATGTGACAAAAAGTTCTATTCATGTTAAAATTATCTTTTGAATCATTGATTATTCTAAGCGCTATTTTAATTTGAGTTTTATGATGGTAAATGTTACAAAGTCATCACTAGCTGACTACTATAGATACATATATTTTATATATATAATACATTCCATTTATATTTTAATTTTGTGACACGTGAGCATAGTGCTATTATTACGACGCTGACAATCATTTTGTAAGAAAATAAAACCTTTCCTCTGCCTTTTATGATTTTCATTAAATCGATATTTGCGCTTCAAAGGCTTGCATTTGTTTTACAGACAGGGATAAATTTTACACGAAGTGGTTGAGCAGGGCGAAGTACAAAATCAACCTGCATCCGAAGATTCTTTAAATAATCAATGGGCTCTAAGTAGAAATTGTGTATCAGAGAAGCTATCATCGCTTTCATTTCCAACATAGCAAATCGTTGACCTATAATTTGGTACATATTCTATGTTAATATAACATGGTATTATACATCAGGATATAAAAAATACAGCTTACCGATGCAGTTACGTGGTCCACCACTGAATGGTAAATACGAATAAGGATGACGATTTCGGATTTTTTCAGGCAAAAATCTGTCAGGATCAAATACTTCTGGATTTGACCAAAAATTAGAATCTCTATGAACTCCGTAAATGTTAAGATGCAAGAATGTTCCAGCAGGTACCAAATATGTCTCTAAAAAGCATATTAAATTAAGGTTTTGAAATAATAATTCAAACTGTATTAAAATTTTAAAATTGAATATACATCTAATACAACATAAAAATAGTTGCTTATAGTTTGGATTATAAAAAATATAATAAAATTAATATTTAAATTTTATTAAGCATTACTTGCTTAACATTATTTTCTAAAAATATTATATTAGATGGAGCATTGTACGTATTTAAAATGTTGAAATATAGAAATAAACTTCAATATATAAAGATATACAAATTTTTAAATCTTTGAAATATGTGAAAATATTGCCTTTTATGCGTATTTACTTCATACATTTGTTGACACGTTGCGTAATATATTAAAAAATTTATACAAAAAAAATTGGTTAAATGCATACGTAATTTTACGTCTTCCGCAGGAATTCGTGATATAAAATACACGCTGGGATATAAGCGCAATGCTTCCTTTATACATCTGTCCAAATATGGTAGGTCTTGCAATAATTTTATAGTATACTTTTGTTCATTCTTTTGTAAGGCTGTATCGACTTCGTTCCTGACACGATCCTGTATGATTATTGTTAATTAAAAGGTGTTTTTTGTTATTGTGATATTTTTACGTAGAAACGAATATATTTCGAGAATATTTATTTCACAAATGTTTTGATTAATCCGTGTTGAAATATGTGTACATAAATTACACTTAAGACATAAAAGAATATTTGAAATATGTGCGTACGCTTACGTGTGCGTATATGCATGCGCGCGCGCATATTTTCTATAGCTTTTAATGCAAAAAAATAAATCGTGTACATATACACACATTTAAAAACATTTAAAAGGTTAGATATTGATTTATATTTAATCCTCCGTCTGTATTCATTTTTTTGCACCGTCGGAGTGGGTCTATCACGTTCGACGTTATTTTTCTCTACCATAAAGTATTTTTAAAAATCTGAAAAAAATCATGAAACATTGTAGTTGACGATTTTATAATCATTTTGATAAACATAGTTTATTTAATAACTTCTGGTAGATTTGCAAGTTTATAGATAAACAGATATCATTTTGGCTCGGACGACATAGACTTACGTATACAGACGGAGGGTTAATAAATAACTTCTGTTAACAATTAATTTCTTTGGCTAAGAATGGCGGCTCACACTTGACGATGGATACCTGAATGTCGTTATGCTCAGCTAATAGTGCCGTAATGAAGCACAGGCCCATTGCTGTAGTGTCATGACCCTATAATATAATCGTATTTACTAATGTATCATATACCGATAAATCAAATAATGAATAAAAATGGTTAAAAAGAAATTATGTACCTCCAACATAAAAGTATCAACTTCTTCTTGAATATCTAAATCAGTCATAAGGCCATCACGAGATGCCGCTATTAAAAGATCCAACATTGCAAGTCGTTTTCTTCGTACTAAATCGAAATATATGTAAACATGTTTGTATCAAATTACATAAGAGTTATTATTAACTTGACTACGTTAAGAATTTAAGGTGGTTCGATGGCTACAACAAAATCCAGAGAATTTCATGAAATTTTAATATGTTGTTCTGCAATGCAAAATAGAATTATGTGAATTTTTTGGGAATTTTTCACCGTCCCGTTTTGAAAAAAATCTACTCCAAAAACCTAAAAAGTACAATTTTAGGAGTAGATTTATTTCAAAACGGGACGGTGAAAAATTCCCAAACAATTCACATAATTCTATTTTGCATTCCAGAACAACATATTAAAATTGCATGAAACTGGCTGCATTTTTAACATAGGTTCTTATGGTTTTTATGGGAAATGACATATTGCATATACCTTCAGAATGAAATAAGTGCAAGAAAAAATGCAAATGATAAAGAAAAAGAAATTTGCACATGTAATTTAATAATTTACAAATAAATGAGCGAAAGAAAGGGGAAGGTTACCGCACATTTCGTAGAAAAATTAATTATTAAAGCATAAATTGCTTGATTTTTTGTCTGCATAGACTGTCATGGTCGTGAACGACGTGAACAGCAGCACGCATTATAC